AAGGGGGCGTTTACCGTTAATCTGCATGTAAATCTGTGTTGGGGTTAATAATCATTGTAAAATTTGACAGCCATGTTCTATAACCTGCCACTATCTGAAAAGTCTTCTTGAGTTTGAAAATATGAGCAAATTTTACACTTATTTGAAATGGGACCAAATGTTATCTGAAACAGATTTATATGTTCAGTTCTGTAGGTGTTATATTAATACTAGTTTTTTCTGTGTTTGGTTTTCTCATTTACTTTAAGCTCATAAAAACTCTTCCCACAATGAAGCAAGACTTGACTGCCAGCCTGTCAATACTCCCCTCAACTATTTCACCTGGAGATTCAACCACAGTCAGCTCATCCTCACATGGAACAAAACATCTCATCAGGCTACAGAGGGATGGAAATCACATGTAAACGATGTCTCAAGCAATGGAAGCCTCTGGCTAAAAGATCTCACTTCCAACCAGGAGGGAATGTACACCTGTCAGTCTGGTAACAATGACGGAGAATCTGAAAAAAGCACGGTTTTGAACATCATAAATGGTAAGTTCTATGTTTGTTTTTTTTACTAACTGCAATCAACCAAATGAACTAAAACCTATCGCACTAAACCACATTACAATTTTTAGTCTGTTTGTTTTGATGTGTTTGGGCCAGGAGAAAAAGATATCAATACAGGACGTTGATGCCAGTAGAAAACCTGGAAATTATTACTATAATATAACTATCTATGACTATAAAATAACTATCATTGGTTTCTTTCTGGTACTAACTAAGGAGAACTTTCAGACAAGTACGCAGAATGGATTTGATCAAAATGTTTCTAAACACTCACAATATTAAAAAAAAATCCAGTTGAAATGATTGTTTCTCTGACAGTAGTGTGATTGCTCTTTTCCCATCTACTTAAATATATAGCTCATAGGGGGGAAAATGGTTATAGTTAGAGGCACTAATTGCCTTAGGTGTGAAAATAGCCCTAACTTTGTTACAACACAAATATTACATAAAGTAGTAGACAATCATGTAGTAAATAAAACCGATTCTGGTTTTAGTTTTTCTGTGTGCTGTCTGTATATGTGAATTAAAGATAACCTCTATAGCAAGTGTTTCTGTTTTTAAATGATTCTTAAATTTCTTTCTGTTGTAGATGGCGGGAGTAACACTACAGGCATTGTTGTAGGAGTGATTTGTGGACTAGCAGTGCTCGCATTAATTGTATTTCTGGTCATTCATTTCCAAAAAACGGTAGAAATTATTTCTCATATTTTGTTTTCCAATTATTGCTCATGTTTTGTTTTAGTGATATGAAATTGATCTTTAATGAACTTTTAACTCCTTTACAGGGTGGAGTGATATGACCTCATGGGCTCCTCAGTTGGCAATGGATGGTTAATCAATCACTCAGTCATTTAAATCTTTGACATCAGCAGTGGCCCTCACTCCATCAACGACACTCAACTTGTAAATGAGATCAACTAATGCTGCTGCTCTGTTGTTGCACCATATTCTGTTGCCCGTCATTTAGAGTGGATCAACAGCTCACTATATGATTTTCACCAGACTGTATTTCACCATACACATTACCTCCAGCTGAATGTCTCTGAGACTCAGGTGAAGAGACGGGAGCAGATGTCCACCCTCACCACCTGGGGGAGTAGTTGGATTGACATAGCAGGCCCAAGCAGGTAGTAAAGGTCTGCTTTGAGCATCTGGATGAGTCCTCGGTCAGAGAAATTTCAACGGGACCAGATTTTCTGTCTCTGTTGTCAAACAAGCTGCAGTGGCTCAGACATCTTTCTCGGAAGCCCCTTAATGACTCATTTTGGAGATG